GGGGGGGGGGGGGGCAGAAGAGTGCTTCAAATATGTAAGAGACACAGACACAAGGGTAGAAAAAAGTTGAGGTGATTACTGTGAAGTAGTCGAACATAACATTCAGTGGGGACATGGTAGTTTGAAGTCAGAAGTCAACTGTCATTTAATAGACTTTTAGCCGTATGAGTATACGTTGCACCACATGAAGGTAAGTCTATCGCACATCCCGATTTAAATCATTGAGCTGTATAATGCATCACTTGCTACTGACTAGAAAGACAGGCACCACGTTTGAAGACATAGCGTGGTCAACCATACTCGATCCTTTTTCTACTCTTTCAGGCTTCACAGTGTATCGTTGAAATGCCATGTTATTGCCATGAGGTCACTTTACAATTGTGTATTTTATCGGCCTCTTTTACTTATTGAACCAAGGTCAATTTGCCTAAATTAAATCAGGATTCCACAACTACTTAATTTATATAAAAATGTAAAAATTAACCTTCTTGATTTAATACATTTTGGTTATATTGTCTCCAATGAATCACTCATTTACTCAATTATTTACGTAAATTCAGAATCATCGACTTTGCCCAATCTCAACAGTTATATTAAAATTTCTTCGAAATTTGAATTTGAAACTGATAACTTCGCATTTAACTAAGCCAATTCGACTGTTTCTCTTCCTTGCCCCTAGCCTCCTAGGAGTGACCAGATTGTGTACCATTTGCATTAATTAAATTTTCATCTGAACTTTGTTTAAAAAAAGCACTATTGATTTATTTGTCCCTTTTAAATGCCTCGTCGGCGTATCCTAATAATTTGTTGAATACATTTTACTTAATGGGGAATCTACACTAAAAATGCCTATGCTGTTTATTGAAACTAATTTTCTTCTATCATTCCCGAAGCATTTTTTGTTCGCATTGTTAATCTTGGTTTAAATGCAGATAAATCTCGAACTACTTGATTGGTCCTTACTAAGCCAATTATCACTCACGCTTCAAGGATACATTTGGACAGATTTAAGAAAGCCAAATTGGATGTAAAAGGAAATATTGCGTGCTGTTATTGAAGCACCTCTCCTTCTTAAAAGATCGTGCTCTTTTCGCCATTCTATTTACATCTTTTGTTAATTAATTAATCTTCCACTTTAAGTTGGACAGATCAAATATTTTCCTTTTGTTTTATTTAATATTTCACTTCATTTTAACTCGTTTTTAATCTCATTATATGAAAATAGACTTTGTTTACAAAGAGCATCGTATCATTCACAACTCGTAGCCTTAAAAAAGAATTTATTTAATGATGAAAGCTGACTATACCAGAGTATATCAGTTTGATTCCGCCTTCTTGTGTACTTTCATACAACCTAATTCCGTCGCTAGGCTGAAGGTCATTGCTTCACTTTGTGAGCTGTGGCTATGGCATAGTTTAAATTTAAACAAAGAGCTATAAGGATAAGGACACGAAACTGGTCGTTAATTTTGCAAAATAAATATTGATTAATTAATCATTAAAGAAACGGACATGTGGCTGCTTTTGGCATAGCTACCTCAAAATAAGGATGAACCAACTTCATGATTCAAAGATTCGTGATCCTTTATTACCAAATTAAGCAGCACCTTTAGTCGCAATCAGTATCGCGATATCTCATGAAATTAAATATTGGCATTTTCAATCAAACTACTGACAGCGTAACTGGATGTGACCTCAGCATGATCTCAATGTTAATTCAAGCTAGTGTGTCAGGTGTCTTTTCGATACTTTTACTAACATTTTTAAGGCTATCTTCTAGTTCTACCTCCAACTCAAACTTTCCGATCTAATACCTTTTCAATGGTGAAGAATTTTTGAAATTATGAGGCCTTGGCTGGAGACTCAACTCATATTTGCTGGCGTTTACCTTGTCCAATTTTTCTCCACACCTACTAAAATTTCTTCCAAACAATTATTAGAATAATGATAACTTTTCCCAAACGCCTCCCTTTAAATTTCCATAGCCCTTCGAGGAAATAGTTGCGGTATTTGAAAGCACGGGGCTGTTCTATTCACGTAAATTTGTTTTAAATTATGAGAAGATGAGGTAAAACTTTAGGAAAGGACTGGTAGCTATTTGTTGTTTGCTTCTTTGTTTCCTGTCATTATTAAATTGTGACAGAGCTGTTGCTATAGCCACTTGGGAAAAAAAGAATTAATTATTGAGATAAAATTAGGTTTTCATTAAATGGTATTCGAGACTGGTATAGAGCACAATTCACAATCACAATTTGGCTATAATAGACACTATTATCATATGCTGATATAATTCATTTATATCAAATGGCAGGTGTTTTGATAGTTATCATTAGCCCTGGAGCTGACTTCGGAGTTTCACAGAGAGGAGGAGGAACATCAAAATGATTAAAAGTCAAGAGGGGGGACAGAAAAGTGATTCACAGATGTAAAAGAGACAGACAGCGAGACACAAGGGCATAAAAAAGGTAAGATGAGTACTTTGGAAGGGGTCGAATATGACAAATAGTCGGGCCATAGTAGTTTGAAGTCAGAAGTCAACTGCCGATCAATAGACTTTTTTGCCGTATAAGTATACGTTGCCCAGGGTGCACCACGTGGAGGTAAGTCTATTGCGTATCCCTATGCTGATATAATTAAATTCAGCACATTGGTTTATCATTAGAACCATGAGTCAATCAGCGTATTGGCTCTATTTGATTAGTTACAAATAAAAGTTCTTTCATAATAGTACCTCCCACTTATTAATTACACCTAATGTGTTCTTCTTTAGATTGGAAGCAGTCTAAAATGGAGCCTGGGCATTATTTCGTTAATATAAATCCAGAATCCGACGAACCGAAACGTCTTCGTGGAACTCGACGCCTGGCGTCGGAACCCACACCGCGAGATCGAATAAAGAGGGCAGAATTCCGAAAATTCCTCAAAATCAGAACGCTTGTCTTTGGTGTTTTGGCTGTCATATTTCTCGCTATTGGAATCCCGTTAGCGATCGTATTTAGGGCTAACAAAGGGTGAGTATATTTCAAGCAAGTAAGCGAAAACTTTTGAAGTTATTGCTTTAATTCCATTTTTAATGCGACTTATTAACATAAGTATTTAATATATTTCAACCAGATTATATTTTATTATCATCCTTGGTCGTTGTTATATTGTTATTTTAATCAACTAATCTATATCCATCATCATCAATATCAATATGGCGTATATGTTATTAGCTACATTGCAAGGCAAAATCAATCTAAAAATATTTCACACCTTACGTATTTACAAAACGAATTGCATTCTATGCGAAAATATGGATAACTCAGTGCTTTCAGTATTCAATGCCCTCATTTCATTATTTGTTCCTTCTTAAATCCACTTGATATTCCATTAACCAGGTGCTACCTTGATTAAAATCCGTGGAGGTATTGGTCATTGTCATGTACAATAGTAATATATCCAGCCAAGACTATTTAATAGTCAGTGTGGGGAAAGGAGTCCTATTTCCCCCCCCCCTCCCCACCCTTTTGGTTGAAATTTCTTCTACGCTCTTAGAAAGTGAGATCAAACAGAGTTTGCTTAGGAAAGTACTTATTCACAACACCCTATAAATATTTTGTAATTTGACTAATGTCTTGACATTGTCTTGCAGTTCACGTGCAGACTACACTCATACATGTGGGTTAAAGGGGAGATTTATTGATGCAGGTGCACTGTTGTCCTGGAGTTAGTTAAAAATTAATTTGCTCCTACTTAATTATGAATTAAGTAGACATTCTGGCTGATGTTGGCTAAACGGACTGCTTTTTTTAAATTATTTAAAGCGTCAATGGTGTTCTTCACTCATGCACAATTTGACCTATTTGTCCTAGACCAGTTATCCAATAACGATTTTTATTGGTTGCCAATCGGACAAAGGTCACAAACCACTAAATGCAAGTCTGTATAATCCAACCCAAGTTTTGGTTGTAGCGGTTGCCGTGCAAATAAGCTTTGACTTATTCCCGTCAATCTCTGTGACAAATTCCCCTACTATGAAACTGCTCCCGAAATTAACTAAACTACCTCAACGTTACCGAAACAACAGAGAGTACAGTGTGTATAACTTTTATTGTGGTTGTGTGGCACTGTCACAAAGCTTAGTCATTAGAATACAGCTTGCGGTTTGTTAAGCAATGCAGCGACTATTGATTGGTAGATGGTAGAGAAATCTCTGCACTCACGACCGCATCTCCTAACTACTTGATAACTGGCACGCTGGAGACTGTCTGAGTGCGCATGAAGTCGCTTTCCTCCGCCATGGTAGCGTCAACTCAATTTCCTTTGAGGTCACTTTCCAAATCTCCCGCTTTCCCTTTCCTGATTTATATTATCTTATTTTTCACAATTGTTTGCGAGATCTCTTGGCCATTGGATTTACGAAACGCTCCTGTTTTTGTTAGCCTTTGGGAACAATATTAACTTTGAAGGAGGATTTTCCTGCGTTTAACTTAATCGGAATCCTAATGATTTTCTGCCGATAGGATTTACTGGAACTAAATTCGGAACTGTCTACCTACACTAATCAATTCCCTGATTTGGAAGACACCCAAATGGACTAATTGGACAGCTTGCAACTTTAGCATCGACCTGAAAATAAACCCAATTTTGCGATTTGAACGCTTTGAAGTTGGTCAGTTTTAAGTTACAATATAGACAAATGCGAAAATACCCGTGAGAACGCCAAATGTCCCAAATCCTTTCATAAGGGCCAGATTGCTTCTTTTCTTATTTGTCAAAGCAAGATATTTACCTCTCTAATGTTGCATTTTTTTCAGCAATGCAGCTTGGGCGATCGGACTTTTGCTGACGATACTTGGCGGTGCTTGTACACTTATCTTCCTCATTTATCTTCCAATCTTCATGCGTGTTATGGCCGCCAGATCGGAAATGGCTGCCTATCAAGCAAGAACTGCTGAAGCTTTGCAGGAAGTGTGGAGCAGTTGTCGCTAGACAACATTTATTTCATCTTTTTCACCTTGAAATATTCCAGCATTAGCAATTTCCTCTTACACTTAGCCTAACCAATCTAAAATAACAGCATAACCCATAGAAGCAGTATTGACACTTATGTTCAATTTGTAAAAATAAAACCAAAACTTTCTTTGTACTTAAATTAATTCATTAGCATCATTTGGTTGGTTGGAAATTAAATAAATGTGCCTAACACTTGTACGATGCATACATTTATTTTTCAAATTGTGAAGAAAAAGACAAATTGATGATAACATTTTAAAAATAATTTCAGTTATTTTAAGTAGGTATATTTCGTTTAATCTTCAAAGTATGCGAATTTACTCTACAAAGTTCACCTACCGAAGGCCAATTGACGAAATCAATCATGCAAATCTAAAACGAATGAAATTAATTTGAGTAACTGGATGCTATACTCACATTGATTTCTTTATTAGAAATCACTCGTTATTACTGTTTTAGACCCCCTATCCACGGCAAGGGGAGGCAACGGACGTGCCACAGCGACCGTTGACTGCAACTAATCCTCATTACAATCCAGCTGCTGATCCTCTCTTGCAAACTTCCATATCCGAATTGGATCCATCAGCTCCGCCATTACCTCTTCCACCTCTGCCAACTGAAGACCCACCAAGATACGACTATATTCAAAGAGAACAACAGCAGCGTGTATAAACAAAGCGGGAACAAACCGTTTTCAGCACATTTTAATTTGCCGAATAAAAACACGCGTTAGATACTATTTGAACGGTTCCGCAAAAAATGTGATGGATGGAGACAATATGTTTATTGAAAATATCAAAGGAATCGCAGTCCCATTCAAAATTCACATTACATTTAAATGCATATTAACTTATAATAGAAATCCAATGTACACTAAGCTTATAATGTTAATCCGTTTGCCAACTTTTGTACCGTATTCCTTGCATATTTTAAGACCATTGGAGAATTCTTTAAAATTTGCGAAAATATCCGAATCAATATACCACTTTGTTGTCCATTTGGTAAGGGATGCTTCTTCTATGTTGTTGTAATGCTGAGGCGTTCAGTTTCTGTTGGTAGAAATCTCAAGACAACAGTTGATTCAAATTAGAGTAAGAGAGTCAAAGCCGAACACGGTTGACCTAAGTTAGTTTATTAAGCAAACAAAGGCGGTTTGCTGGAATAAACATCGCTTTCATGTTGTTACTGGTTAGAAATCAAGACAAACTCGTTAGAACGATAACTGTTTTGGTTCTAAATAGCTGTCAGTAGTGATTTATGAATCCATATCCGTATGCACGATGTCCACAATTAAGAGACAAAATTAAGAATGAATTATTGCTTGATAACCCTACTCTTAGAAATGGTAATTGATCTCCCACGTCCTCCAAAACTTCTTCTACCAATGGAAGCCCACAATTTTCCTATTTCCAAATTGATAAAAGACATTTGGTAATTGTGCCTATTCCTTTTTCTCATTACCGTTTAAGATGTCGATTGCAAAAATTCACATTCACTCACTCCTACAAATAAAATAATGGTTATATTAATGGGAAAACTGTTTTTTATGCAAAGATTGGAGTGAATTTCAATGTTATCAAGAACGAAACTGCGAACTATTATAAAAAAATTAGAAGATAATGATGGACAGGTTTTTGATATTAAAGAAAAACACGTTTGGAAGTGCCAAAGAAAGAAATATTTGCTTAAATAAAGAAAATTAAAGCGAAAATCTTAATGTTTGAAAATGCTTCTACAAATTATTTACAAATTTGGCATAACTATTAAAGTGGGAAGAAACTGTGCTAGAATTTTGTACAAATGGCTAATGCTCGCTTAATCTCGCAGGGAAATTTTAGGATATTTCACAATCGTTTGGGATGTTGAAACTGGCATCGAGAAAAACTGTGACGTAATTTATATGTACTTTAGTGCCTCTACAGCAGGTTGGTAGCTAAGTCTCAACCCACTCTGGATAAAATTGACTACCTATTTCAATTAGTACTTTAGAAACTGTCCACAAACACTACCAAAGATTATAAGTATTTTGCTACACCTACCGCTTCGTTCACAGATGATACGAACGTCCAGTGTTTAGAAGAGTTATGTACGGAGCATCGAATGATTAGCTATTTTTTGTGCTTCCGAGATTACTTTCTTAATCAGGATGGTTTTTACCTATTGACGTTGTTCAGGAAAAAACTGTAACTATTGATTTGTACGGCGACTACTTTACCGGTCAAAACACTGAAAAACTTTATATGATTGGATTTTCCTTTTGCGGAACAAATGGGAAATAATTAACACAATGGTAAACATTAATAGCAAGCATTGAAAAATAGCGTTCAATGATGGGATTTAAAGAGTTCGATATCGCATTCTTTATCAATGCCAAGAAAGGGTATCGTTGAGTACTCTTGGGAATTTATGCAATTTGTGTAATTGACCAGAAAAATTGGAGGTTGTTGGAATATAATGGCAGGAAAAAGAACAACAAAATGAATTGACTTACTTTTCATATTCTCCGGAATTACGAAATATAAAAAATAATATCTGAAATTTTGAAAGATGTTCCAGTTAGTTAATGTTACAAATAACCACAGATTAATTTTTATTTTCCGAGCCAAAAGTAGGCATATAAAAATTAATGAAAAACTTGACTTGATAATTTTATTTTCATGCGACTTGCCACGGACAGGGATAAACTCACATGAAAAGATAAAAAGAGATTCAAAGTTATGTGAATATGGAAAAAAATTAAGAGAGTGCCTTTTTGTAGAAAAGAATTAAAATCGATTAACACGATTCCTGCAAACCAGGTAACTGAATGATTTTATTGTAAATATTCTGATAAATTAATTATACAAATTTGCATTTCTGAGTTTTAATGTATCTAATCTAACAAATAGTCGTATTCCGATTATTCAGAAATAAAAATATTAACCGCGAAATGATTTATAAACAGTTATTTACAAAATATTAATTACATTTCAAAACAAATTTCGTATATAGCAATCATTAAATCTTTCATTTCATAAAGGTAACTTTGAATTCACTTTTAGTGAACACTTTGACGTCCATTACAGGGGCGCTTCTTTCGTCCGTCCTCTTTGTGAAGATGTTGAATATATTTGGGGGTGGATATAATCCACCCACTCATCTTTTTGGGATGGCAAATAATTGTGGTATGTTTTTTCGTATATATTTTTACCTTCTTCATTTTATTCGTCTGCATTTAAATTTTCTCTTTTCCCTTCTAGAAAATAGTGATGGTGTTCATTCTTTTCCACCTGGAATTTCACCCTCTGGAACTAATTCTGTTTCCACAGAGTCTAGTGATCCTTTTAACGCACAATATAGCACCCCATCACCAAACGGCTCTACCCTGGCAAATGATGCTAATGCCACTACGAATACCCTTGTGCTTCGCTCTAATGAAATTACTCCTCCATTAAGTGGTTCAGGTGATGGTCCAACCGGTAATTCCCCAACGGGTGGCGGCGCGGCAGGTAGTGCTGCTGGAAGCGGAAGTGGTTCTGGACAGGATGGTGGTGGAAATGGCGGAGCTACGAATAATAACCTCACAGTGCAGCATCCATTTTTGTTTGAACCACCACCTAGAACTTCTCGTGGTACCGAGGGCCGCACCATCTCTTTGAAGGCAAATCATTTTGAAATTAGAGTTGCGAAAGGAATCTGGTTCCATTATGATGTTTCTATCTCCCCAGACAAGTGTCCTCGTCGTGTTAACCGGTAGGCTATTATAAATGTATTGTCAGTTGACTAAAGGAACTCGTTTTAGCTTTGAGTTGGTGTTTTTTTATACCATTTTTTCTATTCTGATTTCTTTTAAATCTGTTGATATGACATAATTTGCCAAATTATGTCTCCACGTCTTGTCGAGTTTTCTACGCATTCTCCCTGGTTTCCTTTATAGCAACAATTTACCTATACCGCTGCTTAATCTATCAATTCTGGTAACCAACATTTATACACAGACATTATTTGTCTCCTGTGCAATTATGCATTGGGATCAGACCTGGGCAGAACTTTCCGTTTGTTTCGTTTCGCATTACGAATTCTTTTCCTTTTCATATTTATGTTTTTTTCCAAAACTCAGTGTTTCATAAGTTAGGATCGGTTTTTGATTTCAGCTAAGTGTCAAGAAATTTTCCATGGTTATTCGTTTTATCTGTAGATAAGTTGACCTCGAATCTCTTATTTCTTGGATTGTCAATCCACTACTGATTTATTCTAATTATGAACTTTAATAGGCAATGATAACACTATCGTCTTTGCTTCTTTGCAGAGAGATTATCAACGCAATGGTACATTCAAGGGAATACGACAATTACTTCAAGGATCTTCAGCCTGCATTTGATGGCCGGCGCAACTTCTACACTCGTCATGAGCTGCCCATAGGGAAAGATGGACTCGAGTTGGAAGTTGCATTGCCGGGAGAAGGAAGAGATAGGACTTTTAAAGTTTCCATTCGTTTTGTTTCCGAGGTCTCCTTGTTTAATCTGGAGGATGCGTTGGAAGGAAAATGCAAAAGGATTCCTGCTGATGCGGTCGCATCCCTGGATGTTATTCTACGCCATCAACACAGCATGCTGTAAGTTATTGTCGTTTGATTTTTATTAGGGACATTCTTATTTTCTCCTGATCGTTCGTCCCAAAACTCTGCTTTTAAAGACAGATAAAGTAATGTTTTTTATTTTATTGGTGTTTGTGGTGCTCTTTTTATAAGCGTTTTATTGTTCCCATCCTTGCCTTATCTGAATGAGGATATGCCAATTAATTCTACTTTCGTCTTATGACTGTGCTAAAGTGACCATCTTGAAAACTTCACAGTTCGGGGTCATTGGCTTCTAGCAACAGTTTGGGGGTTAAATCAGTGGGAGGAAGTAGTCTATAAACTGTAGATTTATCTATACATTCCCTGTTTTCCTCAACTTCAAAACAGTACGGAAACGTTTGGTTGCAGGATAAACAAGTCTTCACCGCTACATTATGGTTGATATGCCTGCTTTAAGTTACGGTAATTTTGGCAGGGTTAGGTAAGTGAATAGAGAGTTTCTAGATTCATTTTAAAGTTATTCTCGTGTTGTTAACTAGTTCAGTGTTTCGCTAATGCTAAAACTTTATTTTTAGCTCTTAGGAAAATCAAACGAAAACTATTTTTTGGTTAAAGTATTTATCATTGATTTATTTTTTTGTGTAATTATCACGGTCTGGTTTTAACTTGTTGCAATAACCAGCCATTTTAAATTCAATTTTAAGAACGCCGCATATATGAATAGCGTTGAAGTTTATGTTACCGTTTCTGCTTGTTACTTTTTTTAAGAATCAGCTCTGCACAAGTTATATTTCATCTTAGTACGCGTAATATTTAAGTGGTTATTTTAAATTTGCATTTATTCTCTTATGTCTGGCAGTCATACTCCAGTTGGTCGTTCCTTCTTTTCAACTCCTGGACCTGAAAAAAATCCTCTTGGAGGTGGTCGAGAAGTTTGGTTCGGTTTCCATCAAAGCGTTCGACCCTCAAGGTGGAGAATGCTGCTAAATATTGACGGTAAGTCTGCTTCACCCTATCTATCTTGCCCTAATTGCCGTTAAAGTACACTTTCAAACCCTCCACCTCTCTACATCATGTACTAGTGTAAATAACGTGCTTGTCCTTGTAGTCTCAGCAACTGCGTTTTACAAGGAGCAATCTGTACTAGATTTCATGTACGAAGTTCTCGAGATGCAAGATCGCAGTGAGATGCGACGCAACCTCTCCGATAGTCAACGCGTTAAGTTCACCAAAGAAATCAAGGGCTTGAAGATTGAGATCACGCATTGTGGAAATATTCGCCGAAAGTATCGAGTGTGTAACGTCACTCGGCGCTCGGCTATGAATCAGCAGTTCCCCCTGTTAACTGATGATGGTACTACTGTTGACACGTCTGTTTCTGATTACTTCTTGAAACGATACTCAATTTCACTCAAGTAAGTTGAATGATCCCTTTATTTTACACTATTATTAATATTATTATTTCAAATGGTAGGCTTTATGATATTTATCATTAGCCCCTTAGTTGACTTCAGCTTTCCCCACGTTGGGGAGGGGGAGGGGACATATAGTGCAGTTAATTCCCTTATTATACATCGAATCTCTGGAAAGCTTTGCAAGTAATATACTCCTTTCATTTTAGCTATCCAAATCTCCCGTGTTTACAAGTTGGTCAGGAGCAAAAGCATACATATCTACCGATTGAAGTTTGTAACATGGTTGCTGGTCAGCGTTGCATTAAGAAGTTGACTGACATGCAGACTTCGACGATGATCAAGGCGACGGCTCGTTCTGCGCCAGACAGAGAAAGGGAAATCACCCAACTGATGAATGCTAATAGATATGAGTCTGATCCCCATCTTAGGGAATTTGGTATTTCGGTCGTTCCGCGTATGGTGGATATTCAGGGACGTGTAATACCTGCACCAAAGATTCAATACGGAGGGAGAACTAAGGCCCAGGCGTCACCCCAGCAGGGTGTTTGGGATATGAGAGGAAAACAATTCTTCTCTGGTATTGAAATTAAAACATGGGCCATCGCTTGCTTTGCACCAAAGAGAATTGTTCGGGAGGAGTCATTGCAGTGCGTTTTTCTCTTATTATTTGCTCTTTTTACTCAAAAAGTGATCTAGTAAGGTTCTTGTCATCTGAAATTACGTTTGCCATAAGGTTCCCCTCTCTTTTACTTATCCGCGTATAAACTTGAAAATTAATTGCAAGTGCTTGCACCTTGGAGATGGTGAAAGCGTGCTAAGCCATTTCTCCGCCAAGTTGTCATTTTTTCCACTTCTACAGTGCAGGAAGTAAAAGGGCTATCAATTTACTTGTTAAATTTTTTTAGGAATCATATGGGGTAAATATAGGCACTATTTAAAGTAAATCATCACTTTTTGTCGCTTTTCATCTTCTTTCGTTTGTACTTCATCATGTGAGACGCAGTACTTTTGAGCCTTTCTTGATTCACAGCTTATGTCTTTTTTCATAGTTTTGGCGAATTGTTTGTTTTTGTGCCAATCTTATTCTCATCCTGAGAAAGTGTTGTGGTACAACCATTCACCGTTTAGGTAATTAAGTTCGGTCTATTCTGGCCAATGCAACGTTAGCTTGTTCCATAGACAAATCTAAAATCGATAGGTGGAAAATATTGTGTAGAAATATTGGGTAAGACTTCAATGAAGGGGTTCAAAGATCAATGAGCTCGAAAAAGAAACATGGTGACCAAGAGGCATTATAGTGTATAAATATGAGAAGAGCCAATTAACTTACTCCATTGCCCACTATTCTCTCCTACATCATAGGGCTTTGACTTAATCTATCTCAAGTTCCGTATCGCCGGGACAGGAGGTCCCCTGTGCTTGGAGAAATTTAAATTCTTGCTTTGTTATAATCCCAGTAAATAGAGAATATTGCCGATAACATACTGCAGATCTAATAGTTCACAGCAACTTTTGAAATTTTTCAATATTTAATTCGCTACGTAAATCAATATGTCTCTTGTGTCTTGGTTAGTGGCCTCCGTTCTCATATCTTGGTCTGAACGTTGATAAGTCACTCAGCTTGGAGTTTTTTGTGGTCTCTAACTTGGCAACTTGACTCAATATTGATCAAAATATAGATTATGCAGCGCTGGTTTCTCATTCAGGCTTCGGAATGTCTTTCTTTAATCCATGCTCTGAAATTTGACATTGTGAACCAACTAACAGTTTTATTTTTGTAGGACATTTATCAGTCAGCTGCAGAAAATTTCTAACGACGCGGGAATGCCAATTCAACAAAACCCCTGCTTCTGTAAGTACGCTACGGGTCAGGACCAAGTTGAACCCATGTTCCGATTCCTTAAGAGCAACCACCCTGGTCTTCAGCTCATTGTTGTTGTCCTGCCAGGAAAAACACCTGTCTACGGTAGGTCCACTATTTTGTCAAATTTTTCAATATAATGCTGAACTTGTTGCGGCTTAGAGACGTGGTGGAATATGCTGTTCGGGTAGGGGGTGTCATAGTCTTGAAAATGCGGTTTTTATTCCTGTTTCATTGCTCAATATTGAGAAAAAAAATAATTTGTATCTATTCTAAATGGAACTAAGGCTTGTAGTTATCTTGGAATAGATAATGTGCGAACTACCAATGTGTTTAAACACTATAATGCAGAAATCAATAAGAAGTCCAAAGTTTCGTAACGGAAAGTGCTTTTACAAGTAGGTAGGTTCTACAAATTCTCCGTGTTGGTTAGCCGTTGTCATAGGTACGTATATTAATACTTTCTTCCTCAATCGATACAGAATAGAACTGACTGCTATAGATAAAAGCCAACTGTAGAAACCTAAGATAAGAACTGGTTTGTGTAAATTTAAAAGAAATTATTTATTGGTCTACTGTTTGGATAGACTATTTAAATAGTTTCAGAGAATAACGAGAGTATGCCTGAACTCGTTTAGTTTACTATCGTCTGATCTCGGGTTAATATCATCAAGTTTCAAAATCACGTGTTCTCTTATTATGCCACTGACATAGCATTCACAATTTTCCTTATACTTGTCTAGCCGAAGTCAAACGAGTTGGTGACATCATGTTTGGTCTAGCCACCCAGTGCGTTCAGTCCAAGAATGTGAACAAGACCTCACCACAAACCCTCTCCAACCTCTGTCTCAAAATCAACGTCAAGTTGGGTGGTATTAACTCCATTCTCGTACCCACGGTGCGTCCGTCGGTCTTCCGAGAACCTATCATCTTCTTCGGTGCTGACGTTACACACCCTCCGGCAGGGGATAAGACCAAACCTTCTATTGCAGCGGTGGTAGCCAGTATGGACGCCCATCCAAGTCGATACTCGGCTACTGTGCGAGTGCAGTCGCATCGTCAGGAGATTATTCAAGATCTGGCAGCTATGGTTAAGAGTTTGTTGCTTCAGTTCTATCATTCGACAAGATTCAAGCCGGCAAGAATTATCTACTATCGAGATGGTGTTAGCGAAGGCCAGTTCTCAAACGTAAGTTGTCACGCATGCCCTCGATATAATTGGTGCATGTTGATGAATAAACTCTACGGTTTATACCATTTTTTGTTCTTTGAATTCGCAATTCAATTTCAACAGTACCCTTTATGAAATCGAATAGTAAGTCTCGAAAATGCTATTCACATGTTAAATGACTTAATCATTTCTTTATCCAACCTTCTGAAGTTCACATAGGCAGTATTGTTATTTTTGCCAAATTGGGGCACTACTTAATCTTCAACATAAATATCAATCTTGGTCTAATAGACGTCGGTTATTATGTGGAAATTAAGTCGACTGCCTTTTCTAAATGCTGAAAATTTGCAACATTTTGTAATCTGAATGTATTCTTCTCTTCCGTAGGTTTTAAACCACGAGTTGCGTGCTATTCGCGAAGCCTGTCTGAAATTGGAAATCGATTACATGCCGGGTATAACCTTTGTGGTTGTTCAAAAGCGTCATCACACTCGTCTCTTCTGTGCTGACACAAAGGATCAAATGGGCCGATCTGGAAACATTCCCGCTGGTACTACTGTGGATGATGTCATCACACATCCCAGCGAATTCGATTTCTACCTGTGCTCCCACGCTGGTATTCAGGGCACCTCGAGGCCTAGTCACTACCATGTGTTGTGGGACGATAATGAGTGCGTTTTATTGTATTATTATTTATATATGTATATTATGTCCACTTGATAGGAAAGTTTTACTTTGAAGTCATATGGGTGTAGGTATTTTTTCGATTGGAACTAGAGTGAAGTAAAATGAGTTATTGTGGTATTACTTATCCATGATCAAGCATCTGAATATGTGTACCATCAGGATAGTCCAATATAGGAAGAATGGATGGCGAGGAGGGGGGTGGAATGGAAGCTGATAATTAAATGAGAGCATTTAGTTGTCCACGTTCTCATAAGAGGTATTGTTCGCTCGCTTATGTCATGTTTTTCCAATATTCATCCCGATTTCACTAGTTGAGTTTCTGTCCACGGTATTGAGGCCTTGTCAATGGATTTGTTTAGTTGAGTAGTTATTCATGACATTTGGCTTCCTTTAAATCCCCGCGGTTATGAGCAAGTAATTTAGCAGAGCTATTATTTTTTTCTACTTAGCTACTCGTTTCTTGCAGGTGATCCGTTACTCCCGTCGCATAATGTAAAGTCCTAAATGCTATTCCACTATTGCAGTATCGAATAGTTTTAACAAATCCAATGTTAAAAGCGGTTCTATCTGGGAATTTTAAGATTTCTACTCACAAAATTTCGGCATCGCAGAAAGTAGACGAATAGGGGAGTATGAAAAGGTATGATTTCGTCAGTTCAAAGTTTATGTGTAAACTGGGTAGAAGTCAAGGTTAATAAATGTCCAGAAATCGGTGGTTCATTTCTAATGAACCATTAAATGTTGGGAGAACGTCACTAGCTGCCTGAAACTCGAATTCAGACGGACCGGTCAGTTGAGCGACCATTGAGCTGTCTAATTTATCCTCAGTCAAATGTTCATAACGTTATATTTATCGTTCTCCTATTGGTTAAGAACAACAAATTTGCTTAAGATCCATGACTTTGAGCGTAATGAGTGGGTAGTAACTCTGTTATTTTTTAGATTCTCAGCTGATGATTTACAGAACCTGACATATCAACTTTGCCACACCTACGTTCGTTGCACCCGTTCAGTATCCATTCCTGCCCCGGCCTACTACGCCCATCTAGTCGCATTCAGAGCTCGATATCATCTAGTTGAAAAGGAAATAGATAGCGGAGAGGGCAGCCAAAAATCTGGCAACTCTGACGATCGAACCCCCGTTGCGATGTTACGTGCAGTTACTGTACACCCTGAGACCCTTCGTGTTATGTACTTTGCTTAGTCACAATCAGGCAGCAAATCAAAATCTACTTTGAGATTGTGCTTTCCCACATGTCATTTTCTTTATTTGTTTTCGTCTCTTTGTCCTTTCTCCCATTCCCGCCCTTTCGTACCAAACTCATTGTCTCGTAAGGTTGAGGCGTGAATGTCTCGGAAGATTTGTGGATAAAGGCGCTGCTTCGATGTTGTGTGCTTGACAAAATCTGAGGCATTGTTAATCACTCCCACCTCGTCTCCTCTCCCCCTCCTCCAGCATTTCTCAATGGCCACCATGTCCTCCTCTTTACCAATCATTCACTTTATCTTACCTTTATCATTATGTCATGATATCGTGATTTTGATGCTGTCATTGATTGTTTTTTGCTAAATATAGTCTCCATATCAATTATACTGCGCTTCACATAATTCTTCTAGCAGGTTTTTACCATGAACGTGTCTTTACAACGTGTTCATGTGCACTGCGCCATGTAGAGCATTCATTTATGATAGGGTGATTAAACCCTTTAAAGAGGGGGGGGGGGGGGGGGGGGNAAGGGGGGGGGGGGGGGTGGAGAGTGCGACTTGTTGGCAAGCTATCTCGCCTTGATGCGGTATGTGAGATGAATCTGGGGCTTTAGTTAGAACTATGTCCATAATTTGAGTTGTTTGTTATCATGATTATTTTGTCGATTTGTTTAATTATTAGGTTGGCAACTAAGTCATTGCCGATTTCAAATAAGAAGGCAAATTCGGAATTTTTGTTTAAAAATATAACTTTATTCAATTAGGTATTGGCCGTTCTTGTCGATGACCTTTTTCCATCGTTCTGGCAGAGTAAAAATTCCCCCTNAACAAATGGTAATCCGAAGGCGCAAGGTCAGGGCTATATGGTGGGTGTGACAAAACATCCCAACCCCGGTTCCAATAATTTTTGCCGAGTAACCAAAGATGTGTGGGGCCTTGCATCATCATAATGGAAAACAACACCCTTCCGCCGATTTGATAATGCCGGCCGCTTATCTTCAGCTGCATCCTTCAGTTTTTCCAGTTGTTCAACATACACATTTGAATTTATCGTTTGGTTCTGCGGCATGAGTTCAAAATACAAAATTCCTTTGTGATCCCACCAGACTGACAGCATAATCTTTTTTTGGTGAATCTCTGCTTTTGATACCGTTTGGGCTGGTTGATCTTGCTTCACCCATGATCTCTTGCGAGTAACATTCTTATAAACTATCCACTTTTCGTCGCCAGTAACTAGGTTCTTCAGAAATGGATCATTCTCATTGCGTTTCAGTAGCGGCGAATCACAGATGCTAATCCGTTGCGTCAAATGAATTTCCTTTAACTGGTGAGGGATCCATAAATCAAGTTTCTTGACATAACCAAGGGTTTTTAATTTTTTTTTTCAATGCATGTATGCGACACATTGAGCAGCTTCTCTGCAATATCTCGTGTTGTGCTGTAACCATTTGAATCGATAATGGCCTTGATATGGGTTTCATCCACTTCGACTGGGCGGCCAGATCGTTGTGAATTTTTCAGTGAAAAATCACCGCAACGAAATCTTTCAAACCAATTTCGACACTGCCTTTCTTTTAAGGCTTCATCTCCATATACGGCACATAACTTCTTTTGTGCTTGCGATGCGTTCTTGCCTTTTCGGAAGTAATACAATAAAATGTGTCGGAAGTGCACGTCCTGTTCTTTCATTTTTAAATTGGGATAAAAACAAAACTAAAGAACTAAACAAAAAAATTTTTTACTAATTAACCTAGAAGCCCATAGAGTAAGAAAAAAATATAGGTTAGATGCTCTGGCCACGTTAACAAAACAAAAGAAAGTATAGAGTGAATCTGTCAACAAAAACGGCAATGACTTAGTTGCCAACCCAATAGTTCATTATCCCCTTTACTGATTTGTATACTCGACTTATCCTCTCAGGTCTTAAAATGGCTTTTAGATTATCTCTATTTATATGTACTCTGGTAAATCTGCTTCCTTCTCCTTGTTCAACTGGTTTTCCTCCACCTTACTCAGGTGCCGTCTAGACTAGTTGTTGTTTCACGAAGGTTAATCACTTGCATGCAATTCGAATTGAATTAATCCGTCTTTCGCAATTTACTAAATTGATCCCATTCAAAGTATTTCAGTTTCTTTAAACAAACTTAAAAATAGAAATCTTAACTCTTGACAAATTGTAAGTGTATGAAAGATTAAGTAATTATTTGTTCAAATCAATTTTTCAGTAAGCTCACGGTTTCAGGAACATCCAGTGAGTTAAATAGATAAAATTTAATTCTAAGTATATCATATTGCAAATTGGGTTGTGCGATAGACTTACCTCCACGTGGTGCACCCTGGGCAACGTACACTCATGCAACAAAAAAGTCTATTAACCGGCAGCTGACTTCTGACTTCAAACAACCATGACTCGACCACCACTTCCACAGTACTCACCTTACCTTTTTTCTACCTTTGTGTCTGTCTCCTTTGCATCTATGAATCACTCTTCTGTTTCCCCCCCCCCTCTCTACTTTTTTTCACTTTGATGTTCCTTCCTCTCTGTGAAGCCTTAAGTCAACTGAAGGGCTAATGATAACTATCAAAATGCCTGCCATTTGATTTAAATATTGCAAAGTGAATTAGACCCCTGTAGTGGATTGCCACCTTATAAGCCTTGACTGTACTCAGTAATCTCTATGGCAGATTCGCCTACGTTTGGAAAGGCTCCCAGATATAGCAAGACTACCTCAAAGCTATAGATGAAACGGATGTATGGCATTCAACACGTTTATTTGGTATGGCGTGTTTCAGCACGGTCATGACGCGGTCATGCAGTGACCTGGACCTTAATCCTTATGTAAACTTTCCGGCATGATAACCACGTATTGGTGTCGGTCGTTGATTGGTCGAGAGGTCTCTGCCTTTGTCATGATATTGTTGTACTCCTCACACCCCTTCCCATTCTTTATTATTGCGGATATAATACTATAAAATGCGAACTTTTAAAATGTATAATACTATGCATTTAGCTAAGCATCCTCTGAAAATGGGACAACTTAGTCCTATCTGGGTTAAAATAAATCAAGATTTTTATTTCACTAATTTCATGGTCTCTTTTTACTCGTACCCCCCCCCCTCTTTCTCAACTATTTTTGAGCTATATTGATATTCTTTACGTAGAAGTACCACTTTCCCATTCTAAGCCCAAACTATGCTAGAGGTAGGCTTGTAACCTTGATTCAACAGAGTGAACCAATAGCGGCCATTGGCATATCAGTAGGAGACAAGTGTGAGGAAAATCGTCCATTATGCTTCCTGGTCATTATTACGATCTGCCATAACTCTTACAGACTTTATATCCCTCCATTTTTACGATCTACGCTGCACTGCTAAAATGCAGAGTACCACACCTGGCGGATTTTTTTCGCCCCTCTTCTCTCCTGTGTCCTCGAGTACGATAAGCAGTGAGCTATTCGATCACTTTTTTGAGTAATTGTTCTTCAGTATTTTATTGATATCAAATGGCGGGCGTTTGGTAGTTATCATTAGTCCTTTAGCTGTCTTAGGACTTCGCAGAGAGGAGGAGGAACAGACAAAGTCTCAAAATGTGGAGATGGGGGAACAGAAGTGAGATTCACAGATGCAAAGGAGACAGACGGACAAAAAAGTTGAGAAAAAGGTAAGGTGAGTACTGTGGAAGAGGTCTAATATGACATACAATGCCTGTTTATAGACCTTTTGCCGCATGAGTATACGTTGCCCAGGGTACACCACGTGGAGGTAAATCTATCGCACACTCATTCTTGTTCAGTGTAGCTTTCTTTATTTTAACAACACCATGTAAAATGCCAAAGTGATTTCAACTTTGTAGTGCTTAATGTAGTTTTACGAGTCCATAACCTGTGTTCCATCCACACTGATAGATTTTGCAGGCTGTCATAATGCGTTGCGGTAAGTCAGCTTAATCAATCAGTAACTCTACTCAAGTGTTGGTCGCAGATTCACGTGACATTTGACTTTAATGGGAAATGTTGAGTTATGAATCGATTCATTAGGTGATTACTGATTTGATGATGTTAGGTGCGGAAAGTTACACATTCTCTATTACATTTCCAAACCTCATCAAGGCAAGACAGCTTTCAAAATGCACTGACCCCTCTAATTTTGTACGCTGATATTCGTTCTAGAACTTTAACGATGAGACAAGGACGTCCAACGCAATGTTGACTTGAGGGGTGCAAAGAAAAGAAACAAATCAGTAGATTTCAATTCGAAAAAATGGTTTCTTCAAGGCTCGATTTGCCTCTTTCAGTTCACTGAACTTTGGAAGGGGGGGGGGGTTCATCTTGTGAACGGTTGGAAGAAAATAATAATTCATTTTAGTGATTTTCGAGAATGAAGCCTTGTCTTAGCTTGCATTTTCAAAATTCATTTCTTATTCACTTGACGCCAGAAGCAATATTCCCATCTCAAAGTGCACACATTTGTAAGGCTGGAAGACGATGTCTACTCCACCATTATATTTGAATTAGACAAGATTTGGAGTCGGAGAAACCCGGTCAACTTACCTTAAGATGGAAAGTGCCCCTCATTATGAAACTGCGTGCTGACCTCAACCAACCTCAATGTCTAATTTAATCATTGAGGGCAAGCTGGATTAATAGATTTCCAACACCCCAGCACCTAATTTTCCACATTTCGCAATATAAAAGGATGTTGAAAGTCGTTGGGCGAATTCAAGTCAGGCGCCAAAAATTCGGTTTAAGTTTAAAAGCAGTCAATATCTTCACAAATCGAGCTCACCAATCACTTTCGTAGAAATCACCCGTGTCTAAAGCGCTATACCTCATTCGTGCCAGGAGAAAATATGCGAACTGGGCCCTAAGACACTTGGCACTACCCATATCAAAAAGTATTCAAAAATTGGATTTGTGTATTGGAGGTAATGACGTTTGGCTTAGTAATTTTGAAAATTTTAGTGCAAAAGTTCATTAAATTGGCAGTGTTTTAACCCACATATCCAATTGTTCAAACATTCCCAAATGTAGGTCAAAATAACCCTTGGGTAAAAAAAATACATATCGACAGTTTTGGGCCACCTTCAACCCAATCGGTGATTATAATTGGCAATTTGAATATCACTTCAGTCTATAATAAATCCCATGAGCTTCGAGAAATCGTCTGCAGATTAGCGGAACTACATCTCCGCGGAAGAGCTGGACCACGCCTCGTCGGGTGATGTCTATTTTAAAGCCCGAACAAGTATACATTTACCATGAACGCACCTGCAGTTCCAAAACAAGATTGAAATTTGTTCATTTCCAGGCTCCAGGCTGAAATTTGAAGATGGAATAGTGCATTGCGCTAAATACGCACATGCTCTGCACTTTCGTGAACTCAAAAGAATATGGGTGATGTACTCTAGGCTTGCAGACTCCTTGTGCATTTTAAGTATTTAAGCTTACGCGTTAGGTAGAGCGGTATTAGGTAGAATTTGTCTTAGACAGGAAGATTGCTCAACACTGTCTGGAGGATATAGCGTCAGAAACATGTCCCATTCCTACCTCTCGGTTGCAGAAAATGGGAACGTCATACAACCATCCTACCTAAATGATACTCAAAGGTCCAAATGGCCCCTTGACGTAGGCAAAAGATTTGTGAGTATATTTGACAATTGGCTCTTATTAAGAAAGTCAAATCGCTTATATGAGGACTTTGAGGAAAGAACCCCTGTCGGGTAGGTGACAGTTTACTCTGTCATCCTACTTAGATTAGCCGTCAGTAAGAGCGCCTAGCTCTATGAGCCGTCCTTCCATAGACGATAAATGCAACCTACCAGCTCTATGTGGTGCTTAATAGCACCATATCCCCAAAATTTCGCCATTTATAAACGTCAATCAAGTAATAATGGCCTTCCTTATGCCAGCCCTTGAATTACCCCCAGAACAGTGCAACAGTTGCGCGACAAGAAAATGAGCTAGAGTCAAACGGACCCCAAAGCCACAATCTTATTTGAATCACCTACAGAGAAGCCCATTCAGTTACTTTCATACTTAACCTTGGATACACTGGGACTTACAGTTTAGCGTCTTTGTGATGGGAATTTAGCCACCGCCCACGAGCTGAATTGATAACACTGAGGTAGTCCAAGAAAACTAATTGGGCTGCATTTTAAACCTTGAACGCACTACTCCGTACTTTTTAAACTCCCGTCACCTATTTCCTCAGCAAAACGCCACTATTACACAATCAAATCATCAACTTTAATAGTAATAAGCAGTATTAATAAATGGGGGAGAGAGAGAGGTAGGGACAATATTAGCATCATCATCATCATCGTCGCCTTCATTGACACACAAACACACACACAGTTTGGTTTACACACAGAGAGGCGGAGGAGGAGGAGGAAAATAAATAAACAACGAGAACACGGTCACAGGGTTTCAGTTGGAAGTCGAGATAATGATTATTTCGTTGGCGGCTGTTCATTCATACCCAAAGGGGCTCGTTTATTGTGATTTCTTCGGTGTCGAGCAAGTGAGAAGGTGCCTGGCGTGTCGGACGGTGTTACTCTACTCGAAGAGGAGCTTGGAAGAGTAGCGACCCGATCTCTCTGCTGCTGCCGGTGGTGGTGGTGGTGATCCGAGTCGACCATCGAGTGTCCATCATCAAAGGTGGATCGAAGGCTCTGTGTGGTAGTAGCGAGATTTGTGGATCCGGGGTCACCCGATGAAGAGCCATGGGTGGTGTTATTGCGCGAGTCGCCAGAAACGTTGCCGGTCGTGTATCGAAAGCGATTGCGAATTGAGGAGATGGAATCAGATAACCATCTTGTAAGTCGTGCGGTCGGGCCTCTACGGTGACGGGGCTTGAGATCTCGTGCGTTGGAACGGGAACTGGCTAACGCCTCCGCAGGTTGCTGACGTTGTACTGGCTCCACGGAGGACCGGTTCTGAAGGAAAAAGAGTTAAGAGCATTACTAACATTCAACTCAACTGCACTGGAGGCTATATGACTAAGAGCAGTTTGAGTGCACTCAAAATCAATAAAAAATAACCTATTAACGTATCTCGCAATAATCTTTCCTATGATTACAGGGACTATAAAAGTGCTCCGAGTGATAACTTGCCAAGGTAAAAATGCCAATCTTCGATAAACAGTCGGAAATGAAGGAGATAAACATTACTGAAAGATAGACATTGGGAACCAAATGGAAATGGAGTGAGACACGCAAACACTACTTAAGAACAAATAACTTGGGACGAACGGAACGAAAATTTTACATTGCGTTTGAATTCTCCCTGCGAAAAAGAACCTAGAAGGCTGCCTGTGGATATTCATAGCCAAAACTAAAGGATGTGAAGCGAGGAATGCTCCAGGTGATCAATGAAGCCAATCACTGCGTCAATGCATCTACAAGAAGACCACAAGCAGCAGAGTCGATAAACGGCAGAATTTTCAAATGTCGTCGAAAGACTTCGTCTATTCATCAAATGAAGCCGAAATGTATGTTCCACGGGAATTTACTGCATTCGATATTGATTTGCAAAAAAAGTCACAAGTTGCGTAATAACCAATCGGAGGTTGACTTGTGAGGTTGAGATTACTGTACAGATGATGGACTAAATAATAACAATTTCGCCAATGTTATCAGGAGAATCTACTCACCGAACTGGATCTCTGCTGTTGCAATTGTTGCGACAGCTGCATTCTCCTTTGCTGTTCTTCCTCCATATGCCTTGCTAAAGAAGACAGCTGTTCTGAAGTCAACGTACCAGCAGTAATTGTCGAGTGGATCCAACTTTGACTCTCATCCACAGGTAAATCTTGCGGCGAAGTGGGTTGCTGGTTGTCTTCAAAGACAGTTAAGAAAGTGGGCTGGGAATGACCACCATAGGCACGTGAAGAAGGTATCGTAGTGTTCGCGGTAGGTCGAAAAGCTACTTCTAAATCGGGTGGACGAATAAAGGGTTGGATATCTTCGGATGACGGCTCCTCCATTTCTGATTGGGGCTGTTGCTGCTGAAGATAGAAAGCTGCGGCATCTGCTGAGCCATAGTCTATAATACCCAAACGAGCCAGCGACTCCTCCAAATGGCCACTAACTCCGCTGGTATTCCTCCAACTTCCGAAACTAAAGGGGTGGATTTCGTCAGTCAAACCGGGTTCTTGATGGGTTGAGGGCAAGGGAGGCCAGTTGTGGTATGTCTGTTGGAATGGAGAAAGACAACGATAGACCACTATCCAATGAGTTACTCTCAAGAATATAAAATGCTTGCATTTGTTTCAGTTAGTCTTTAGTTGAGCAAATAATATTATCGTATATACGCGCGCCGTTACTAGGACGTACGGCCGTATAACTTTCCGCGCAGACAACCGTACAAAGCGCGTCTGTCAGTCAGGCTTATATAGTGTAGAAATCCGTTACACTGCCCTAGTTTTAATTTTAAGTTAAGTTACCTTTTATTCAAGAGAGATGCTAAGGCGACACTACTCTCATTTTGAGCTACAAACCAAGCTACTTTATTCTTATACATCGATGAAAGTGCCAGCAATCATTTCATAAGAAGGGGGATGCAATGCTGCAACTAAAGTTACACTGCGAGTCAGATCAAATTGGGCTTTGAAATCGACTTAAAAATGAGTGATCTTCATAAAGACCAACCGAATACTACGGGATTTCCAAATAAGAAGGGCAGGAGTCAATTAAGTAGGGTGACGTGCATTTCGGACTGAGAGAGAGAGAGAGAGAGAGAGAGAACAAGAGAAATTGGCAAACGGAGGGTGCAGTGATTTGATTTGTTGCCTTACTATCAACCCTATCGCGTGCTGTCCTTCACCAATATGCCATGGTAACACCTCCCTCCACCTATGGATACGCAGTCACCTTCGAAGTTTCACTGCTAGTGAAGTTAAGGACACATGAACGTGAATGGAAGTCTGCATGCAAAGTGCCACCAACACATCACCACTGAGTGCGACATACCGACTTATAAACATTACGACGGTATCTGGGGTAAGCAATTCCTTTACTTCGTACATTCACGCAGTACCTGATTCTTGGGAACTCTATTCTATCTCCCTTTGGCGCAGTGAGACTTGGCGTGGAAAATTCAACACAAAGAAAGAAAAATGTAATTTCTGAACGAAGGGAACAAGGATTGCGAAAAATAGAGGCTGTTAAATTATGATTTGGCCATTGGTGAGTAACCAAAATAAAATTAATTGAAGATGAGACAGCCAAGGATAAGCGTCAATACATTCAGATTAGTCAAGACAAAACCATCCCCCCCCCAATACGACGTTATTGAACGGTGACAAAAAAAATGTATCAAGATTATTAGACTGTAATGAACTGGGGGTAACTATTGACATTTATTAAAATTGAAAAGTCGAGCGAAATACATACTGAGATTTTACAAATTCGAAAACGAATAAGGAATACGTTTTCGCTGTCCTAATTGGCAAATAATGACAGTTATCATTGGTTATTAACGTGACTGTGCTAAAATCTATAGACATTTGGTCTTTCTGTGAGCTTTGGAGGGGGGAAAGGCAGACAATTACAAAGGCAAAACAGACCATCAGAAATAAACAACTGGCCAATGCACAATAGACCCTGTTGACCAAAATTTGCTCCAACTCAAGAGACACTATTCATGGAGTTTGAATTAGGGGGACATGTATTGCCCACTTAAGTTCATAGTTTACAACCTTTAGCAAAATTTCAAATAAGATGCTCTCTCTTTCTGTTACTCCCCCCCCCAACCCGATATCTGTTCTATTGTCTCATCTGTATCATTTATTGCACTTACTGGCAAGCTATTCTAGTTACCATCTCAGAATCGGAGAAAATGTACGACTTGGCATTAATGAAAGCAATAATACTTATCTTAACTAAAAGAGCACTCTGGTGGTGCTCGGGGTCAGAGGAGGCATGGCCGTCGGTGCATATTCAGAGACGTGGGTGACCAACCGCCTCGGTTAGAACTGCAAAACAAGATGAATGGCGGAATATGCGTCTAGGGTAGGAACGCCTCCAAAATACCTTCTCACTACCCTCGGTTAACAATTCTCAAAATGACATTAGAAAGCCTAAAGCTAATAGTGGGCGCCAGACAGTCAAGTTCACGAAATAATAACCGCATATCACAGCTCACTTTACAAACATGTGCTACTGTACCAAATTTTATCACCATCAGTACTATTGTGATTGCTTAGCTTTTGTTGTTCAAACCTTGAACTCATTGAAAAAAAATAATAGACTACATAATAGATCAGTGCATTTGTCATCAAATCGCTGATATTTTTATAATAACCAAACTCCCCAGCTTACCCTCAACTGTCGTATGATGGAAGCCGGAGCGATTGGAAACTGTTCATCAACAAACCGAATCGGATTTTGTCGTAGTGAAGACATGACAACGCCCTCAGTTTCGCCTTCAAAGGAGCTCACACTGAACCGCGTAGGGGAGTGCCGCGGAGATGAACTAAGAGACGTTTCTTCGCCCGAATTTTCTCCTGTTAATTCATAAACACTATGAGGAATGCGCCCTAACGCACACATTGACTTGATCTCAGGGAGGGAAAAAATCCGCGCACCTGATAAATAAAAGTAAGAAATATTAAATTCAATTGCCACTCAAATATATTTAAGTAGTAATGTTATTACAAAAAGACCAACTGACCGGTTTCATCAATATGAGGTGCTTCAAATTGTGGAGTTGGCCGACGCAGGTAGATAAGGGGATCCAGCCAACAGGGGAAGCCACGAGGTGTTGAAAGAGAAGAGTGGGAATCTCTGGTTGGAGTTGAGGCAGCGGTTTTAGCGACGGAAATGGAACGCCAGTGGGCAGCACATGCCTTGGCGGCAGTTGAAAGACTAGGCGGAGGCAGGAGGTGTTGAGTATCAACGACCCACTCGTGCCGAGCTACACTCTCCAGAGTCAAACGTTTCTATAAAACGGAATGCTTTAATTATTAGGCGAAAAGGATTGGAAAAGACACATAAGAAAGTTAGACACAGTTTGGAGATTTAACCGAATGACCAAATGTGCTTATGTTGTTTCCTTAATCAGGCTTTTCTGACCTCAGATGTGTGTTTACCTACGTGTGCATTTACCTCAGTTGATGTAAATCTTCACCATATCCAATCTGCGTGTATATACATTCATTGTGGAGTATTTTCATAATTAAAATGAGTTTGTTGTGGAAACTTGACGCCTTCTTGCTGCATTACTACTTTACTTTTCATACTTTTGCCTTGAGAGCCAAGCTACAACAGAAAGATCTCAAAATATATCGAGGAATGAGACTAATAAAGACATTAAATACCACCTCGGTAACACAGAAGGTCTTATTTCCAACTTTCTAAGTTACCTCTCTCTCCTCTCCTCAGAAACATTACACTGAAAATGCAAGCACGATGCACTAAGTTTGCCTTAGACTTAAAGCACAATTTCACTTGCACAGGGGATAATTTAAATGCACAACTTTGTCAACCCCTTCCAATATACGCTAATTAGGTCATCTCGACTTCGGGAAAGGCTAGGAGAAAAGTAATTGGAATTTGCACTAACTTGACCTTATGCAAATCGCACCATGGGTCCGATGACCTTGTGTTCATATAGTTGAAATAAACAATCGAGTAAAACTTAAATTTAACCCTAGGAAGTAGAATTGTGACAGCATACTACTTAATTAAGTCAGCATAAGTAGTATATAACGAGGTACTAACAGCAGGATTTTTACACATCATGCCGCGGATGAGATGAGCAGCTGGGACAGAGACATGTCCAGGGATGACATAGAAGCCTTGAGAGATGGCCTCAAATATCTGAAGGACATTAGGAGAATTGAAGGGTACACGACCAGTGAGCATGAAGAAAAGCGAGACACCAGCACTATATACATCCAATGCAGGTCCATAGAATGAGGACTGGTCGCCCTTGGCAACTTCTGGAGGCTGGACGGCAGGGGTGATCTGACCGGCACCGACCTTCATTAAAAGAGAGGAACCAAGATTTTTAAAATGTCAATATTACTTATTATCATAAGTATACATTGAAAACGCTGATTCTGCGCGTTTACGAAAGCAAATGCAAAATTAAAAAAATAGTCTGGAGGATATTCATGGGCATGAAACGCCTACTGTTGAACGATTGGAAGTTGATATTATGCATGCTGCTAAATCATAACAGGCACTATGCGAGTAGGTTAGACGTGAAATACCCGTGAAAGCCAACTAAAAGTTTTAACCAAATGTAAACTACACATGACCGAAGTTAACGGTCAGGTAAGAACAGAAACCACAGTAAGACTTCAGTAAAACAAATAATCACTTATAATCAAAGTTAAAGATAGGTTAGAGACAATAACAAAAACGAAGTAAAAAATGAGCACAGAAAAAACTAGTTTGTGATATCCTTTATATTGATTTAAACTATATCCAATCAAAAAATATGCCTGTTCAACTCTCCTAACAGATTTCTAATTGAAATTAGAGAAAAAGAAATCTCCTTCTTATATTTATTATTTAATTGACCAGTGTTTTTGAGTAGTGAAAAATACGTGAATTTTAATATAGACACCAAAAAATTGAACACCAATGTTGAGATAGATTTTAACGAATCGAACATGAAGATGTAATTAACCAACAATAGCCAAGATAATAAAAAGTAACTCACAGGAGTCGGTAATTTGAGACTTAACCCGGAAAGAAAAAAGGTGAACTATGAACGAAAACGAATAAGACATAAAGTCGAGTACAAGCGAAATGGGGTCCCATAATTGAAAGAAGTTATCATTGCGGATCACCCAAATGGATTGTTGATGACTGGCGGTTTTGCCAAACCTTTTACGAGAGAGGAACAGTTAGAGCTACTTCCAACTTGACTTTTCAACTGGCAGTGCTGTGGATCGACATTATTCTACCAAATATAGCATAGGTTAACAAAAACTGAAAATGCTCAAACAATATTAACAACACAAAGGTCATCCCAACCAACAACTAGGATTCGGAGTATGCTCAACGACGGCTGATTGTATGATTGGAGAATCTTATTCGGAAAGAGCTAGAGTGGAAATGTTCAAGCAGTTCAATCGACCCGAACTTCTAATGAGACAATACGAATAAACCTCGCAGTCTAATGGCAAAAGCACAAAGACACTACCAATTCTAGATTACACCTTCCGTAAAAATAGCTGAACCTGGTAGAGAAAACTTAGAATTATAGGAATATATTGAAATTGTATTAAACGTATAGAACGGAGTGGGCCGATTACACACAGCTTGCAAATTTAAAATATCTGTCTGTACCATAATATATATCATTATTCGACAACATCTACCTCTCAATCGCGTTTGATGTCATGGAAATCACGACCGACCGTATTGATCACAATTGGGTCGCCAGAGAAGCGTCAATAAAAATTTATGCCATACTAACTTGTGAGAGTACTAATTGCCAGCACTAACATAAGTTATAGTAAATCAGGTTAACGTATTTCTTAGAATCTGAAGGGCAAAAGAAACAATTTTTTCTTATACAATGAAAGTGAAAACAGTTTTATTCATAGGAAATATCTCAGATTAACACTAACACACACATTTACCTTTATTAAATGTAGTCCCTAGCACAAGACATAGACAAATAATCTCTTAAGTAGATTGTCAACCCCACATGATCGATTAAGAAATCGCTTTTCAAATCTACAGCAGAAAAGTAGAGAAGACGATCGGCTGTCTCGCTCAACATCGAGGGACACCCAAACCCCATAACCACTGACTTTACATGACAATTAACTTTAAATTAAAGTTAATTACATACCAGATCACTCTTATTGAAAGCAGATATCGAAACCGACACTCCAAAATCCGCCAATTTTATGAGATACCCCCTTGACAGCCTTAGCACTTCCTCTCCATTGAAGGGAACAAGACCCGGCTGATATGTACCTCCAGAACATCCATCAAAATATTCATGCGCCAACGAGGCATTTACCGCCAATCCAGAACCTGGCGCCGGAGTAATCAGCAAGTTCGCGGGCTTAATATCCCTGTGGATGATTCCATTCGCATGGAGGTACGCCAATCCATCAATTAGCTGGATAAAGTAAGCGTGGGCTTGAGCTTCAGGCAGTCTTCTAAACTGTTGGGAGCCAGTATCAGAGGCATCAGACACACCAACCATAGGAGGATTGGGATGGACAAAAGCTGACTGCTTTCGAGCCGCTTGAGGAGGAAGAGCAGGGGAGTTTTCCCTATCATCTTCGTCGTCTCCATCAATAGTTGGAAGGGTAGCAATTCGATTAAAACCAGATGGATCAGCACCGGAGTCGTTTTGAGGGGCACCGGGGAGAGAGAGACCTGAGGTTGCTGATTGGACACCAGCAGCTTGAAGGTCGTGGACAGAGCCGAGGCAATGTTCCATGACCAGAGCGACGCGATCTGGATTAGAGAGACGGAGAGCAGTGATAACTGAGACAATATGTCGGTGTGGGGGGAGGGCACGAAGTAAGCAGGCCTCTGTGAGGGCTTGAGACCAACCACCGGGAATCTTGCGAACACCTACTTTGGAGACAATTTTGACGGCACAGCGACGAAGAGTGAAGAGATCTATGCAGTCTTTCACCTGATAACGAAAATAAGATAAATAGCAATGAGGATAAGCAAGAACCAATTTCTGCTATTCTTTTTAATGATTTTGGAAAACTGCGCTTTTTCTAAGAAGCCTAGAACACAGAACAAAGAACGAATGAGCATATGTGGGAACTGGATAAAAGGCAACAGGTAATGAGCGATCTAAAACAATGATGTCTAAAACATCTATCTATTTTCATACCAACGACTTGAATGATTTTAAAGAGTTCAAGCACGATGAACGACAGAACGAACAATTCTGGTATCGAGAACCTGAAAATTCAAATACCTTGTAAATGAGATAAACAGCGATTTTTATCCTCGGGAACCATTGAAATTTAAAAATAGCACTAAGATAGCCACATTTTACAAAAGCACACGAAATAAAACAAGAAAATTGGAGGAGGAAGTAAGTTTAAGAGTACTTTAGGGGATATGGACTATTCCGATTGATTATACAGCCGAAGTACAGGACATCAATTATTGATGCTTGAATGCAAGCATATGTAGCACATCGCAAGCGTTTTAGGTGTATGACGTTGAAACGGTTATAAAATTGAGTCGACATATGTATATCTTTGGTACTACTGCACTATAGCTATAAACCATAATAAGGAAAACGAAACGAAACGACTGAATTAATTTATTAATTTGATGAGTCTCCATGATAAGTATTGGATTAACGACAGCTTTATAAAAGCCCACTCATGATACCTGGGGTAGGGCAGCTTGGAGATGACTATAAGCCCCCCCCCCCCACACTAACAGCACGTTGCTACTGGTGACTTGGGAGCAGACATAGCAAATGGCAGGCGTTTTGATAGTTATTATTAGTCCTTTAG